GAACTGTTGTGTGGGGTGATGTCAGTACAAATGATAAACTCTGCACCTGTGGTTTTGTGTTGCCTCACCTCACCTGCCTGATGCCCTCGCTGCATGAAAGAACAACCCTAGGGAGCAGAGTGGGCAGGTCTGTAAGAGCCACGTGCAAGTGGCCACTGCGAGGCTTTCTTTGTTTCATTAGTGAAACAGGACAGGACAGCACAATCCTACCAGACCCGTAGCACGTTCCCCGCAAGTTTTCATTCAGATGGCCTTTTTCCAACACTCTCAACTCAGTCCCCAAATTACTTAGGGCTTCAGCTTATAAAATGGGTTGTTATAAGACACATTCCTATAAAATCCATTAAGGAGCCTCTCACAAATATTTTTTGCAACATTTATTTCGCACCTGCTATGTGCTAGGGTCTGGGGATACAGCAGTCAACAAGATATACAGAGTCTCACAGAGCTTGTATTCTAGCAAGACTGTCAGGAAGCAAATACACAGGCAAAGGATTCTTTTTGAATGTGATGAGTTCTCTAAGGATAGGCTTAAGGCACCAGAAGAACAGGATAGGCTCAAGGCACCGTAAGAACAGGAAAACCTGACCTGGTCTTGGGTCTTAAAAGGCTTCCCTGGAGGAGTGAACATTCACGTTTATACCTTAAGGTTTGTCTGGAGTTAGCCAAGCAAGTAGAAGGGAGAGAGACCTCCAGATAAAGAGGGAGGCACAGAGAAAGACCCTTAGGCAAGAACAGGCTTGGCACATTTGAGGGACTGAAAGAGTATATCTGCAGCTATGCCCCCATGATGGAGGCAGTACAGAGCGCATATGCAGCTGAAGAGGGAAGAAGATCATGCAGAAAATAAGCCTCTCTGATTCCAACACCTAGAATAGATGTCTGTCTTCTGAGAAGCAGTTCCTTGTTTCTCGCAACACCATGGATCATGTAATGACAAGACTGTGGGTTTTTTGTATTGCTTGCTATGAAGGATAGACCCAATTCTATGCCAACCTTGAACATGATCATGAGAGTTTACAGTTGCATTTTTAAGCTGATTCTTGCTTACCTGGGCCCCTGCCCTTGCTTTTCTTTCCTCAACCCCAACCCCCATATTTTATGTATGCTCTCCAGTTATATTCTGTACCTCTTATACACTTCCTAAAATCATTTCTGGGACCAAATATCGCATAAAATCAGTGTAAATGTTATGATGACTTGTTCATTCAGTCAACCTTGATCATTACCCAGGTTCCCAGTTACATTCGAACACTCCCACTTCACATTTCCACTTGGAGGGCTGATCATTTAACTTCAATCTATATCTAGAGGCCTCTAGTTTTCATTAGAAGACTAGTATCTTCGGTCTTTTGACTGTGTGAATTTCCCTTTAGACGATGTGAACATGGATGATCACTCCAAGTCGAATGAGAAAATATGAGCTAGGTACAAAAGGAATTTGAAGAGGATTTGGGGTGAAGGTGATTGTTGAGAAGAAAGTAAGAGAGAATAGTGTTCAACAATATGGAATATTTCTGGGCCCACTAAATCTCAAAGTAACTACATTGTTACTTCTCTCTTCATCTTCCTGAAAATACCCATCCTAAAGCCTTAGGTCAAACACAGTAGGCATCTGTGTCAAGGTGGGGTGCAGAGAGACACCATGGTTCAGAGCTCAAGTAAGGTGATGAGGGCATTGGAGTAAGAGGAGTGCTCTATATAAAATATGGGAACTGAATCAGAGTCAGGAGGAAATCCATGGTGGGAGAAGATGGCCTGGCGTGGGCTGTTGGAGCCTGGAATTCTTGGAAAAATGATTGGTTCTACAGCTAGGACAGAGAAAATCCAAAATGACTATGGAATAATGAGCATCAAGAGCCTGGAAAATGTTCATATGCTTTAAGGTAGAAATTCCACTTTTTGGAAACTATCTAAATGAAATAATCATAAATACTGAAAAAATTTTAGTCATAAATATGCTCATTACTTCATTGTTTATAATAAGGAAAATTTGGGAAACAACCCAAATTACAAACAATAGGGCAAACAACCCCAAAAAGTTATGAATATTCACTAAGTTGGATGTCTTATAGATGTTGAGTTTATGAGCCTGCTTGTATTATAATGTTGTTATAAATGCAACATCTAGATCCAGTTTGAGTATGGGCTCTAACTGAGGTCTGACTCTTCACTGCAGCCTTTTAGAAGCCCTTCTGATATATCTTGTGTATCCCAGCATATATCAGTGCCTTGAGGTGGGGTTGGCCTTCTTGCCACTTCAAGACCTTGACTCTGGCTTTCAAATACCATCTTTCCTTCAAGGTTTACACCATTTAGCTCTCCATTTACTACCCATCCACCATCATCATCTTTTGTCATCCTCCAAACCTGCTCTAATTCACTGAAGACTCTGGCACCCATTTCCCACTACTTTTGTTCCTCTTGTAGGGAGCTTCCTTGGCCATACAAGCAGTGCATCCAACAGCTTGGTCTCTCAGTTTACATGACATCCCAATGCCAATGCTCTTCCCCTCTAATCTAATTTAGCAATCTGAAACCATGCCCTTGGACCTCATTACCACACTTCCCTTCCCTGTTCCAGCTTTGAAATGTTAAAATCCCAGATCCCACTGTAAATATCTTCTTGGCAACCTCAATGTTCTGGCCCCTCTGTTCTAATGCATCCACCCCGTTTTCCTCGATCATTGGATGGCTGTCAATTAGCAATCTCCGTATGACTTAGGTTAAGTGGAAGTTTTAAAATAGCAAACTAATTAAACAACTTAAGCATGGCCACATTACATGCAATCTTTCCTTGCCTCTTCTATTAAGCTGTGAATGAAAGATCTAATTTTAATCCTAAGGGTTTAACATCAACAAATATTTTCTTTTGTGAAGTAGGTGAACTTACTATTTTGATTTAAGGAAAATAATATTCAAATTAATGTTTTAAGGAAGGTTTTGGTGGTTACATTCATGGATTGCAACAACTAATTTGTGCCTTGTGGAACTTACTGGCATTTAATAGAGTCTCTCAAAGATTAGGAGGCACCTGGGTAGCTCATCCAGGTACGCATATGACTTTTGGTATCAACTCAGGTCATGATCTCACGGTCAGTCGTGAAATCAAGGCCCACATTGCATTAGGCTTTGTGCTGATAGTGTGGAGCCTGCTTGAGATTCTCTCTCTCTCCCTCCCTGCCCCTTCCCTGCTAGTGTTCACACACTCTCTGTCTCTCAAAATAAATAAATAAACTTTTTTTTAAAAGATCAGGATGATGTGACAGTCTCCAAAAATATATGTTGGGTCATTTCTTAATATTTGTATGCTTTTACTTTATTACCTCTTTTACCTATAGTTAGTTCCTGAGTAGTAAACTTGTATGTTTTGCCTCTTAAAAAACTGGATATATGAAAATATTACCACCTTTAATCCTTTTAGGCATGAAGAAAAATGATCTGCATAGAAATCTTTGAAGTAAATAAATTTAGAAATAAAGGTCAACCCAATAAATGACTCATAACTACTTGGTATGATATATAATTTACCCATTTTCCAGATGAGCAAATTCAGGGCCAGAAAGGAGCTGACTTGTCCAGCATCACACAGGTAAGAAGGGATGGAACTAAGACCCAAACATATTTCCTCTTACTCCAGGTTCAGTATTCTTGTTGGAGAAAACCAAAATAGGAGAGGAGCTTGTAATCTAGACATGGTCAACAAATATGAAAACATTTAGGAAATAAAATGTAATCAAAGGTTAATATCTAATGACATTTTTGGTATTAGAAATGGTTCCTTTCTAGGGAAACCTTCAAAGACTTAAAATATAGTTCAATATATAAAAAGTCAATGTACACTTATGGGGTTTGGTTTTGTTGTGTTTTGTTTTTTAAGAAAAGGTTCTACTATTTCGAGTAATATAATATTTACATTTATGGAAAGGTTAACTGCAGCCTAAAATAATGATGAAATCTAATGAGGGCATATTAATTTTAGTTTTTAAACTATCTTCCCAGGAATCCAAAGGGGTTTATCTAGTAATAATTTGCTAGGGTTGCCATAACAGGGAACACACTGAGCAGCTTAAACACTAAAAGTGTTGACTCCAAGTTCTGGAGTCTCGAAGTCCAAGATCAGGGTGCCGGCAAGATTGATTCCTTCTGAGGGCAGGGAAGGAGAATCTGTCCCACACCTCTATCCTAGCTTTGGGTGGTTTGCTGACAATCTTTGATGTTCCTTGTTTTCTGCTGCAGCACCGATCTCTGCCTTCCACTCCACACAGTATTCTCCTGACGTGTGTCTGTGTCCAGCTCTCCCTTTATTATAAGCATTCCAGTCATATCACATTAAGGACCCGCACTACTTCAGTATGACTTCCTCTTAATGAATCACATCAGTAATGACCCCATCTACAAGTGTGGTCACATTCCGAGGTACTAGGGAGTTAGGACTTCAACATTCGAATAGGGGGAGGAGGCATGTTTCAACCTGTAACACCTAATGATATGTTCTAGGAAGAGTACTGATCATGAGACAAATGACAATTGGAATTTGTTTTGTTTTGTTTAAATCTGCCATAGCTGCAATCTACCAGTTCCACTACCTGTAGAGAGGGTTTGTTAAATCAGAAAATAAACATAACCTTCCTGGTATACGAGGATTTAGAAAGAACATGACAAAACAAAAATTTTGTTTGTGTCATTAAGAAATGCTTCATTGACTTGTGGTAGGTAAATGCTTTCTGAACTCATTTTCAAGCACCTGCTGTGCCATGCAGCATGTCATACTTTGGGCATACTGTAGTCACTGTGTTTCTCCAGCTGGTTCCTTCTCTCTGCAACACCAGGTACAACTGATAATTCCGTTGGATGCCATCTCTTCCCCCAGGAGCCTCTGTCTCCTGCCAAGTTCCATCATGGCTGAGCTCCATCATACAAAACCGTGTGATGGTCTACAGCAACCTGTTGCATGCCCACTTCAGGCATCTCTCCTTTTCTATGTTTGCACCTTGTTAGATACCAAAGTAAAGAGCTCCAGAAGTCTTTGAGCCCATTCATGCACATCCCTTCTCCACCTCCCATCACTCAGAAGAATGGGCCAGAGGGCCTAAAGAAAACAGTGCTGTAAACAGGACCATCTTTGATCTTGACCGTCTTTTCTTTTAGGGTAAGTCCTCTCTACTTCCTTTCATCCACTTATGCAATTACATTCCTAGTCAGGTGCCCCTCTAGTTCATCAGGTATGCCCCGTAGACACAACAGGCTGGACTTAATTTGTGAGTCTTCATTTTGCTGAAAAACTTTCAAGTCTTTTCAAATTTGTTTAGTTTTTTCCTGATGCTTCTGTAATTTTAATTATGAATATTTTCTAATTCTGAGAGATTATCAACAATAATTAAAATTGAGACAGGGGAAGTTAAGTGATCCTTTAACATCATGAAGAGCAATATTATTGATACTATTTGATTTAGCCTTCTATTTATTATTATATAAGCTATTATATGAGAAATATGTGGATAATATTGATTTTACTAATATAATTATTACATAATTAAGTCCTTTTCTGACTACCTAAATATTAGATAATTTTCTCAATCAGTAGCCGAGGTAAAGGTGGGTTTCATTGATAAAAATGCTTTAAGCAAAATAAATATATTTCATAAAGTATACAGGTCTTAAAATCCAAAAAAGATGAGTTTCAAAACACTTTTCCTAAAGAATTATAGTTAAGATAACTTGCAGGGTATTTGGGTTGAATCTTGGTATCTTAGATTGGTTTTTAACAGATATTTTGCTGTAGCTATCCAAAAGAACACACAATATTGTAATGCTTTGAAAACCAAAGCATGTTCTCATTTTGCTATCCACGATATTCATGGTTCTTTAAAATCCAGGGATTAACAATTCACATTACTTCATGAAAGTGTATTTCTTAACTTTCAAAGAAAATCTTATAATGGTTTCTTTTTTAAAAACTAGAAACCATCATAGTACCAAAGATATAATAGATGTCAGATTGGGTCACAAGGCTTTTGGAAGCTCCTCCCCGCATTCTGACCTCCACTTGGCTATGACATCATAATGTCCTAGCTAGTTGTACGATCTGCAGGGCAACAGAAAGGAAACCCTGAGGAAACGCAGTGGATTATTGGATAAATCATCATTTTCCCAATGAACTTTATATTGTTTATTTTTGCATCTGGGGTTTTTTCCTCACAGCTCTCCAGTATGACTTCCCGTAATTATGGTGAGTAAGCATTTAAAGGTTTTACAAAAATAGCAGAAGAGAGGACCCATTTCCCTAGAAAATTGGTATGTGACAGTTTTCTAGAAGGTGATATAAAGTTTATCATTGGAAATATGGTATAATGTACATTCTAAATCTCTGCCTCAATTCCCTTTGTGAAAACATGCAGTTGAAAAGGGGAAAGTAGTAAAAGAACTCAACGTATTTCTGATCATGTTTTTTGCAGAGTCTAGGGACATGATTCTTCCTGAAGTGGTGCCACCTGAAAAACTGCATAAAGAGGCACTGGAAAGTAAGGAATCACCAGAAAATAAGGAGCCACCGGAAAATAAGGAGCCACCTGAAAATAAGGAGCCAGCAGAAAATAAGGAGCCACTGGAACATAAGGAGCCACCGGAAAATAAGGAGCCAGCAGAAAATAAGGAGCCACTGGAAAATAAGGAGCCACCGGAAAATAAGGAGCCACCGGAAAATAAGGAGCCAGCAGAAAATAAGGAGCCACCGGAAAATAAGGAGCCACCTGAAAATAAGGAGCCATCGGAAAATAAAGAGCCACCGGAAAATAAGGAACCACCAGAAAATAAAGAGCCATCAGAAAATAAGCCACCAGAAAATAAGATAGATACTACTGCTAATGACAAGAGTGTCAGTTATTATAAAGATATAAAACAATGTAAGTCTTTAAAGTTAGTAGCAATACATATGCAGAAGCTGGTTGTTCTGGTTTGATTTATTTTAACTCTTTTTAAAATGCTATCATTTTATTTCCTACTTCTTAAATTCTTATTTACCTTCTAAACGTTTCCATGTGTAGAATGAAATTCTTTTTTTTAATCACTTTTTTTCATGAGATGCTATGAAGTTTAACAAGTTTCTTTCAGTGGTAGGCTATAACTAATAGAGGGCACATGGCATTTTGTGATTTGCAATTGATCTAATTCTATGGTTCTGGCTAACCAAAATTTCTTCAGAGGTTTGTATCCATTTTCTAGGGCTGCTAAAACAAAGTACCACAAACTGGGTGGCTCACAGCAACAGAAATTTATTCTCTCACAGTTCTGGAAGCAAGAAGTCCAAAATCAAAGTTTTGGTCATGCTATCCTTTCCCCAAAGCCTCTAGGGAATGGTCATTCCTTGCCTCTTCTAGCTTCTGGTAGCCCCAAGCATTCCTCAGATTGTCACAGATTTCCAATCTCTGCCTCCATCTTCACATAGCATTCTTGCTGTCTCTCTGTCCATTTCCATCTTCTTATAAGGACACCATTTATATCAGACAAGGAGCCCACCCTATTCCAGGGTGACTTCAACTTTTTTATCCCTGCCCTACCTTACCCCACCCGACCTTACCCTGCCCAGCACTGTCCAAGGTGGCTAGACTAAGAAACTGACTTCATCTTGACTAACTATATCTTCAACAACCTTATTTTGAAATTAGGTTTCATTCTGAGGTGCTGGGGGTTTGGACTTCAACATATCTTTTGGGGGGGGTGCAAATTCAATTTATGTCAAGATGACTTTAAGACATTTGGAAAGTCCATCAGACTTTAGTTTATACATCATTACTCGTATGGGCTTTCTTTCCATCTCTTTATAAGGTGCACCATTCTAAAAAGTGAAAAGTTCATAAGAAACTCTTGTTAAAAATAAAAACAGGGGCTCCTGGGTGGCCTAGTCAGTTAAGTGTCCAATTCTTGCTCTCAGCTCAGATCATGATCTCATGATTTGTGGTTTTGAGCCCCACGTGGGGCTCTATGCTGACAGCATGGAATCTGCTTGGGATTTTCTGTCTCTCTCTGTCTCTCTCTCTCTCTCTGCCGCCCCCCCGCCCCCCGCTCTCTCAGTTTCAAAATTAATAAATTTTTTAAAAAATTAAAAATAAAAAATTAAGATTAAATCTAATTTTCTTGGGATCCTTATTAACATTAATCAAATAAAAAATAGAAATGCAATTAAGATATAGACATATATATACATGTACAAATACATACACTCAAGTACTTTGATAATGATAATGTGTAAATTGTATTTCTATTTTCTCTCTGATGAATCAATATCCGTCTTTTGTAGGTGCAAAAAACACCTTATGCTCAGAGAGATCACGTGTCAGTGTTCATAGCTACCAAAAGCAGAGTCAGGAGGGGTAGTATCTAATCTGTCCAGCCCACCAGACTGCCGCAATGGTGTGCACATGGCGCAACCATTCCCCTTTCAGGAAGTACCTCTAGAATTTACCAGATAGTAAATAAATCAAGAGCCTGATAACTTTGATTTAAAATAAAAAACCATTCTTACACACACAAATATATACAAAACATAAATGAAGTCTTACCAAAAAAATGTGTCAAGACTTACTTCTCTCATTTAACAACTTGAGCTCATTTCACATCTTTCCACTAGGTGGATATCTAGTACTCTAGAAAATGATGTCCCATAATTGATCCACTATCTTTTTTAAAGAATTAGATTACGTGCAGTTTTTCTCTTGGATATTCTTCTCATATACACTTAAGTGTATCTGTCTTTGGATAGATACCAAGTACTGGACATTGCTGAATAAGCTATGAATCTTTAAAAATATTGATAGATACCACCAAATTGCCCTCCAAAAAGCTTCTACCAATTTACATCCTCCAAGGATGCTCCACAATCTCACCTATAATGAAAATTGTTAGCCATATTTTGTGAATATAAGTGAGAATTTTCCATTTGCATTCTAATTATTTATAAAGTTGAGCATTTTTCTCTGTATTTATTGGATATTTTTCTTACTACTTATATGATTCGCTTATTCATATCTATGGTCCATTTTTCTATCAGGTTGTATTTTCATGTATTTGTAGGAGCTCTTTTTATGTTTAGTAGATTAATCTTTTTCCAATAGTGAAAGTTAATAAGTTATTCCTGCCCCTCCCCCGGGCTATTGCTTATGTTTAAACCTGTTCGGGTATCTTAATCACAGAGAAAAATTTTAATTTTATTAAATCAATGTTGCTTAAATGTTTTTAAACAATTTCTGAATTTTGTATTTTGGTTAGATAGGTCTTATTCAATCCAAGAGAAATTATTTTCCTATTTTTTCAAATAATTTCATATTTTTGTTTTTAACTCTTAAGTCTTACATCCAGTTATCTTTGTATATAGCATAAAATAGACATGAAACTTTATATTTTTCAAGGAAGATTGCCAAATATCTAACACCAATTCCCTACTTATGTGAAACCCATTTAATATAATATATTATCATTTGAACCTGGGTCACTTGCTAACTTTTTATTGTTTCTTTCATCTGTCTTTCCCTGTAAAAATACCACAGTATTTTAATTTTTATACTTTCATAACTCACAACACGCATGTTGGGCTTTTGCTTCCTTCTGTTATATTTTTCTGTAGATCTAGCTCAGAAATTCCTCAAAAAAATCATGATACATTAATGGGACTCTGTGTGTGTGTATGTGTAAGCATGTGTGTAAGCTTGTGTGGTACAACGAGTGAATATATATGTATGTACTAAACACACATATGCATTTATGTACGTATAAGATTTTCTGTCATTTCATGAGATTTTGGAAAAAAGAAACATGTATATATATTCATGTCAATATGTCAGTCAGCCATTTTGATCCACTCTACTCTGACTTGGCTTGATGGATATACCCACTGGTTTTGAATTATAACCAGCCCTACTGACAACTCTTAAGAGCAAGATTCTTTATGTACATATGTAAATGTGAACACTTATGGGAAACCCTGATTATTATTGTTATTGAAATAAATGCTGTTTAAGCTGTTCTATAGTCTAACAGAAGATCCAGGGGCAAACTAATGCTTCTTAGTTTGCTTTTGATTCTGTCAATACAGTGATAATAGTATGCACCTACAAATCTACTTTAGCACTTGTTATAATTTCCTCAATAACTTCTTCTTGGAATGTTATTTAATATCAGGATACCAATTTGGCTTTTATTTTTCCTCATGAATTTTATTTTTAAAACTTGCCCCCATTTCCTCAATTTGTAGATGAAGAATGTCTCAAATACTTTATTATTATTTTCTTGGAATTAGTACCTATGTTTTTAAGAAAAAAAATCATATGAGGAAAAATTTAAAGGATTAAGAAATAACTTTGCTAGTTGCTGAAAATATTTGATCTTGTGTTTTTAGATGTGTTAACGACGCAAAATCCAAATGGCAGCCAGTATGAAATATCCGTGAGAGCAACAACCAGTTTGCAATTTGTTCTAAGAAACTGTAAGTACTGAAAGTAGTAAAAACCACCATTGCAAATAGGAAGAGCCCTTAAAACAAGATTTCAAAACAGCTCTAGAGAATATTAAGTAGGAAAAAGGTCTTAGTGGAGTAGTGTCAGAGAATCTTAGTTCCAGAATAAGGAAGCTCCATGCCCCTTGCACCAATAAAGTTAGAAGTCAAGGAGGACTTCTTGCATTTCTTAGCCTCATATTTTTGGTTTTCATGGAAAGATAAATGAATCAATGTATGGCTCTAGAAAACTATATGTCTTTCTTAACCCCACACTTTTACTCCTTTCTGCTTATACCTCCAGTTTCAAATGCTCTTATTTCCTTTTTGTGTCTTTCCACCAAGCATAATGAATTTGCCAAATAAAGCTGTTGCCAGCATGTGACTTTGGAGGTCATTAACAGTCTTTAAAGTACATATACACATATCCATATCCATATGTATATGTATAAAGATATACTTTCCTTTCACCATGAAGTGCCAGCAGCTCAAATCTATGAAGCACCCAAGCATAAAACAGAAGACAAGGAAGAGGATAAAATTAAATAGGGAAGAGAGAATGTGTCTGGCTCTGGTAACTTCAATATTGGAAAAAGCCAGACTCAATAATACCTAATTGTTACTAAAAGCTATTTGACAATAATGGAATATTTTGTGCAATTCCAAACCTTAGGAAATAAATGAGGGACATTTCAAGGGCTTGTGTTCATTAAACAAATCACTTATGGGAATTTTGTTTGTATACAGCAAATATCATCTTAAGTTGTTTGGGTCAAGAAACAGAGAGGCGGGTCTTAAACAGATCAGGTAGTTCACATTCCTTAGGCGAATAATGTAGCTCACATTATTGAGGACCATAGGACCCATGGAAGAAATTCCAAAACCCTAATTGCTATTCCCACAATTCAGGTCTCCAAAGTAGTGTCAGAGAAAGTTGAATTGGGATAAGAAATTGTTGTTATTTAAAATAGGGCTGTGACATTGCCGTGTAGTATTCCATTGTATATATAAACCACATCTTCTGTAGCAACATGGATAGAACTTGAGGGTATTATGCTAAGTGAAATAAGTCAGGCAGAGGAAGACAGATACCATATGTTTTCACTCATATGTGGAACAGAAGAAACTTAACAGAGGACTGTAGGGGAGGGGAAGGGAGAAAAATAGTTAAGGAGAGGGAGGGAGGCAAACCATAAGAGACTCTTAAATACTGAGAACAAACTGAAGGTTGATGGGGTGGGGGAGGGGGGGAAATGGGTGATGGGCATGGAGGAGGGCACTTGGTGGGATGAGAACTGGGTGTTATATGGAAACCAACTTGACAATAAACTAGAAGAAAAGGAAGGAAGGAAGGAAGGAAGGAAGGAAGGAAGGAAGGAAGGAAGGAAGGAAGGAAGGAAGGAAGGAGAAAGAAAAAATAATAAAATGGGGCTCGGACAGAAGGAGATATGCTAACATGGTAGGACAATTCTAGAGGAGCAAGCCCCTCAAGAAGATGGAACTCTGCAGAATAATTCTAACAATTGGAACTAGAACTGTGAGGGCAAGGGGGAAATCCACACAATTTTTTGCCAAAATAGAGTATGAGGGTTGTATAGCAGAGTTTAAGGATTACTTGCCAATTTTGTTGGAATCCTGCCTGAATCACATCAAGTCTGGAAACAGATTCTCTTTTCCATAACTTTCTTACCAACAAGGTACTTGTCATGGTGCTGTTGGTAGGCTCAATCAGAATGAACTCTGCCTCTCTGTAGAGCTTCTTCTATAGTGACATTGCCTGTATTTCATGTGGAACTTAATTGGATCCTACATTAAACAAAATTGACTGAAATGGCCACCACTGGGGTGGGGAGCAGGGTGGAAAAATGAATCAGGTCACAACTGTTCCCAAAGACACTCTAACTGACATTCTTCTAGAAGAGGGACACATTGTAGACTGAGCTATGCAGTAAATCAAGCCCCAAACCCTTGATTGTTTTTGAAGAGTTAATGGAAATGTTTCCCATTTACAAGGATACTGATGTACCTTCCTCTTCCATGTCCTTACACTGACCAGCAACCAAGCTGTCCTGGGCTGATAGTATCACTTCAAGTTCTGTTCAGAATACCATCTGAAGCCAATATCTGTCATCAAATAGATGAGAGATATTTTTACTTCTTTACCTCTAAAAGAAGCTTCTGGCCCCACAGTACTAGCTTTTCTTCTTTCGGGCAAATTATAGGTGTATTAATCCCTTCTCGGGCAACCCATTTCCCCAAAACTTTGTTCTTCAATGCCTTTGTCTTTCTCCTCCTTTATAATATCTCAGGAAAGGTCAACATCGTTTTCTTTCTTCTGTGTTCCATTTTTTAGCTTAAAAAATGCCTAATCACAGACGTTGTCAATAGTTGTATGTGTTGATAATTTATTATCCCTTTTCCTAGATAAACTCAAGGAAACAACTACAACATCTCCTGGGAGAGCCACCGATGAAGAACCTCCTCAAAAACAATATCGAAGTATTAATGTTTCTATGCATTAGTCATATCTGGAGCATATCATTATATGATTTAATTTAAGTCTCATTCTCTGGGTGTCTCATAAAGTAATAGCATGCTTAAGAACTAAACAACTGCAATTTAAAGTCACTTGAAAATCTTTGAAACCATAGAAGTCTGAGTCCATTTTTAGATTTACCTGACGAAGGGAGAGGATGTGAGCTCTTTTCAAAATAAAATCTATTTTAACAAAATGTATTACATTTATATTTATATTCAACATATAAATATATTTAATACATTTTTAATATTTTTAAAACTAATGTACAAATATCTATCTGCTTGAGAAATAAATTTCTTTCTTTCTTTTTTTAATGTTTTAATTTGTTTCTGAGAGAAAGAAAGACAGCGTGAGCAGGGGAAGGTCAGAGAGAGAGAGGGAGATACATAATCTGAAGCAGGCTTCAGGCTATGAGCTAGCTGTCAGCACAGAGCCTGATGTGGGGATCAAACCCACAAACCGTGAGATCATGACCTGAGCCAAAGTCGGACGCTTAACTAATTGAGCCACTCAGGCTCCCTGAAATAAATTTATTTCTAATTAGAATCAGTTATTAGTGCTTCCCAAAAATATTGGGGGTGTGGTTGGTAGTGAGAGGTTTCAAAATCAAAATCATCATTTTACTCTCCTGCTGATAATATTGTTCCCTGTGAAATATTTGTGAAACCATAGCAACCCAAGATGGCTCTCCTCTAAGGTCTTGAATGAGTGGTCTAATTGAAGACAATGGACCTGTCGTTACATGAAACCCCATTTTCTCCAGTTCATGCAATCCAAGTATGTTTCTCATGTGACTACTGTGAACTAGTTTGCATCTCTAACACTACTAAAACAAACAAACAACTTACTCATTTTAAAAAATATATTTAGATATTGAAATCGCATCATCCTGGTGGTATCCTTCTTAAATATCTTTAGTAATTTACTATTATGTTTGGGATCATGTTCTAATTTCTGAACCAGGTGTTTAAATCTGAAACTATCTGACCCCTGGGAAAGGTTCAAGTTTCTTCTGTGGTCACATTTCCCATCCACATTCTTGACTCTAGACTACCTGAGGCTCTCAGAACTCACCAAATCTCTTCACAACTCTGACTTTGCTCGCAGTGGAATAACCTCACTCTTCCCTTGTTGCCTAGCAAATAATTTCTAGTCCTCTAAGACTACATTGGAGCATCATCTCCTTTTCAAAGGGTTTCTGGTCTTTGCAACTGGTCTCTCTGTGCACACCACTTGTGTGTTTCTATTGAAGCCCCCATTATCCTGCACCATAATGAACAGTGATTCTTGTCTGTCTCCCAGACTGAGAGTGTGTTCCTTCAGCATAAGGCCCATGTCTTGTTATTTCTGTAACTTTAGTGCTAACCACAGGGTCTGGAACATGGTAGGAGCTCAAGGTATAACTGTTACATGACTAACAAACAAGTAAATAAATGTTCTATCACTAATTTACTAAAGCGACTCACCTTACCTAGTTATCCTGTTCTATTTTATTTTTTAAACAGGACCAACCAAGCGTCCAAATGAGCCTGCATTTTGGACAATGTTAGCTAAAGGTAAACTCACAGTTGTTAGGTAGCTGAGAAAATGTTTTGGTTTACTAAAGTCTTATGCAAGAAAGCCAAGATCAGTGTTATCTTGTTCCAATCAGTTCTAATCAGTTCTAATATTAAGGATTAATATTAGAATTAATTAAGAATTAATAAGTCAACATTTTGCTACCATTATCATACATAATAGCAAATGCAAAACCAAACCACAAAGTTAGCTGTGTCCCACGTTTTCTGATTCTCTCTCCTAAATGTTTGTTCTCCCATAAATATTGCAATCTTGTCATTCAATTTATTTATGATTAAAAATTTTAAGTAAGGCTCTTGCTCATTATAGTCCCTCTTTGTGTTTGGAGCAGTTTGCCCATAAGCACATGGAGATGTGTGAATAAATGCAACATATATATCAAAATATATGCATGCATATGTCAAAAGCGCATAAAGTTACGTGCATAAATGATATGTGCATTCATATATATGCATGTATAAATGTATATATCATACGTAGATGCACACCTGTGGAAATGTAATTCATGTAGCACACACATATATGCATGCATTGTAGACATAAAATATATATATATTCACTTGATCCGCATTATTTGCAGATTTTGTATTTGTGAATTTACCCACATCTAAAGATTATTTGTAACCCCAAATCACTTTCGTGGTCATTTGCGAACATGCGCAGAGCAGCAAAAAATTTTAATTGCCTGACACTCATGTTCCCAGCTGAGATAAAACAAGGAAGGCAATGCTCTGCCTTCCTTTTTTAGCTCTTACACTGTAATTAAGTGTCCTTTTTGTGGTTTATTTAGTGCTACATGTTTTGCATGTTTGTGCTTTCTCTTGGTGATTTTGCTAATTAAAATGGCCCCCAAATGTAGTATTAAGATACTGGTTAGTATTTCCAAGCACAAGAAGGTTGTGATAGACCTTATGGAGAAAGTCTGTGTCAGATAAACTTTGTTTAAGCTAGAGTTATGATGCTGTTAATCATGAATTCAATGTTAATGAATAAACAATATATATTAAATAACATATCTTTAAACAGAAACACACAGAAAACAAGGTTATGTATTGATTGGTTGATGAAGATGTGACCAGAGGTTCATAGAAACCTAACCTTGTGTTTCTCCTAGGGGTAGCAATTCAGTATTCACTAATTCAGTGTTCACGTGACTTTACAGCACATAATTGTCATGAATAATGAGAATAAATTCTGTATATTAAACACACACACAGTAATTTTAGGAAGTGAATTTTGTTTACTGTAACACCAATTTATTGTTTTAACAGCTTTAAATGCAACACTAACAGCTGAGGAGCTTGAGGAAAAAGATCAATTATTTCACCCAATTCCAAGTAAGCACAAAATATTTCAATTCAAAGGATGTATCAATGCCAGCACACATTTTCACGTGTGACTTCACTACATGGCGATAGTATTTTTCCTAGTAACCTGTAGTGTATGTAAAGGGGTAGCATGGTGGCTAACATTATATCAGAGAGGACAGTTGTCATTTTAGAAAAGCAGTTGTCCCTAAGCATTATTCTCCAGGTCTCATATTGAGAGGGCTATTTCCATTTTCTCGTTTTATAACTTCTATTCCTAAAACAGATAAACCAAATGGGGGAGTAGGCAAGTGAATCATATATAGAAAAGTTTGTTTTTTTAATTGATAGACTCTAATTTCAGAGAAGTTTCGGGCTTACAGAAAAGAAATAAGCAGAAAGTACAGAGATTTCTCCTATATTTCCCCTACTCAGTTTTTCCTATCATTATCCCCTTGCATTGGTTTGGTACATGTTTTGTAATTTATGAGCCAATATTGATACATTAGTATTAGCTGAAGTCCACAGTTTACATTAGTGTCCACACTCTGTGTTGTACAGTCCTGTGGGTCTTGACAGATGCATAATGTCATGTGTCCACCATTACAGTCATACAGAGTAGTTTCACTGCCCTAAAAATCCCCTGTGCTCCACCAATCCTTCCCCTCTCTCCCTAATCCCTGGCTACCAACTGATCTTTTCACCATCTCCATAGTTTTGCCTTTTCCAGAATGATCTATAGTTGGAAACATATGGAATATTGACTTTCACATGGATTCTTGCACTTGTTCATATGCATTTAAAATTCCTCCATGTATTTTTGTGGCTTGATGGTTGATTTCTTTTTATCACTGAATAACATTTCATAGTCCACACAATTGGACAATATATAATAAATTGTACCAATTTATTTATCCTTTCACCTACTGAAGGACATCTTGATTACTTCCAATTTTTGACAATAATAAATAAAGTTTTTATAAACATTTATCTGTAGGTCTTTGTGTGGACATAAGTTTTCAACTCATTTGGGTAAACACCAAGAACCGTGATTGCTAGATTGTATGGTAAAACTGTTTAGCTTTGTAGGAAATTACCAAGCTGAATTTCAAAGTGGCTATACCATTTGTATTCCCACCAGCAAGGAATGACAGAAGTCCTTCTGCTGAATGCAGTTTTGTAGTTTTCATTAAAGGATTAGTAATATTTCTATGAGTAAAAGAACTGAACTCAATAGAAAATTTCACAAGGCAATATATTAATTTCCCCCCAAAACCTCTGTCCTACAAATAAATCACTGGGGAAAAAAATTGCATCTGGTAATAAATCTAAGGCCTGACAACTCTCTTCTGCATTGGATTGTTTGTAATAAATACAGCCGCTTGCCTTGCAGAGTTTCAAGAAAATGAAGAGTCTTCTTTGCTTAGAAAAGTTATATACAGAAATGAAAAAGGCTGCATTACCTTAGAAATATTTTGTCTTTCTAACTAGTCAGATTGAGCATCATTGATTTTCTATCATGTATTGAGGATATATTACATGCCAGGTGCTTTACATACATTATTATGTCAGTTTTCATAGCAACACCATGCAGTTGGTATTATCTTCATTTTACATATGAGAAAATTGAGGCTTAGAGAGAAACTGGCCCATACTTGTAATTAGATTTGTCATAATGTCCAGTGGTTGAGAATTCCAAATCCTTCTCTAGTTTTGACCAGCACCCTGAAAAACAAAATGTACTACAAGCACACCTCTTTATAAAAACCCTTTTAAGGAGTAGCAAAGAAATTCAGCAGCACAGCCCATTTCAACATCTTTTGTTTGATTATTCCCAAAATAATCTGCCTTGAGGTCAAGATAATCAGTGATAGTTGTACACTTCACTCTACTTAGTCTAAGATCATACTTTGACAATTAATAGAATCAGAGAATACAGACATGGGAGTTTGTTATTGCTTATCCAAAACATCATTACCTAACAGGTAATGAAAACCTTTGGAAGTCCTGGGTGGGAGAAAGCTGGGGGAAGAAAGTTGGGAGAAGAGAGAAATAACAACATGGTCATTTAAAGTCAGCATTAGATAAATGGCTATTAAGTGAGGCATCAATTAAAGAAAATATAAAATTTGGCAGTAAAGATATATTTTCATCAATAGGTTGGAGAGTTTTGATATCTCTGGATCTGGACATGATTTATTACATTACTTATTTTAGAAAGCAGTAGGATTTCATTTCTTTCTTTAACATTATATACTGAGTTTGATCTCAGTAATAAAATGGCAAATTTAGTTCTTAAATCTCATGGAGAAAGCATCCGGTACACCATTCTTTTACAAACATCAGAGAAAAATCAATGCAGGTCCCAACAGTAAAATTGTATCTTTCTCTTCTGAAAGACTAACCCCTGGTGTGTGAGTCCATCATATGTTCAATAGTCATCTTTCCAGAGTCTTGAAGTGGTTTTAATTAGCCACGGAAAAAGACTCCTATACCCACATTTTAGCACCTGGTAATGTGGGTTTCAAAACAGATTTTCCCATTTAATAGTTAGGTGCCATGGACAAATTCATAAACTTCTGTGACCTTGAAAAATGGAGCTAAGAACAGCTCCTCCGGGACTGTAGTGAAGGTTTAAAACAAGTGAAGGGTACTTAGCCATAGGCGGGTAGTCTACAGTCTGCATTGTATGTGAGTAGTGACTACCCTGGATGGTGATGGCGTCTCTGCAGTTGCTCTGCTATCCTTCTCCAGGAAACGTGCTGGATGCAGTTACTCTCTCCCATTGCCTTTTCTTTCTTTCTTTCTTTCTTTCTCCTCAGAGTCTGATTTGAATGCTACAAAAGAAGACAACGTGACACAGCTACAGGAAATCAAGTTAAAATTAATGCTGGGCATCTCATTGATGACCCTCTTCCTTTTTGTCATCATCTTGGCCATCAGCAGTGCCTTGCTGTACAAAGTGAAGAGAATGAAGTAAGTCTGCAGACATCTGGAGTCTTTGTAACATGTGTGATATGAAGCTCTAACCCCCTTTCTTTAGTAGACTGTTAGGAAACACAGCTCCCAAATTTATCTATAATATATGGAGTTAGGCTCCATTTCCCCTATTCAGAAAGGAGCATGGGGCTGGCTGTCTCTCAGGGAGAATTTTCCCCCAATATTTTAAATAGTCATCTAGAGATAAAAAATAACACTAGTCAATCGGAAAGGATATAGGGAATCTAGATATTCGTTCCTTCTTGCTAGCCGGGAAAAAAAAGGACTACCACCTCTGTTCTCAACAGCATATCTGCTTAGGGTCTAACATTTTTCATTTATTTATATGGTGTTATACCAAGTAATTGGACAGAATTCCAATTCCATATTGTTTTAATTTTTGTGATGCCTTTCTAAATTGAGTTGAGCTGCAAATGTATGTAGTTAAGAACAATTCTTGATACCTATTTTCTTTTTCAGTTATAAAAGTCCAGTTAAGACTGAATACTCCGTCAACCCAGAGCTGGCAACTCTGTCTTACTTCCATCCATCAGAAGGCGTATCAGACACATCTTTTTCTAAGAGTGCTGACAGCAGCACATTTTGGGGCGCTACATCTTCAGAATTGAAAAAAGAAGACTCAGTGTCAAAATCTAGAATGACAGACATGATTTCCACAGCCTCAGATGATACAGGCATGAATGATGAGTCAGATTTAATTCAGAGTGAGGAGCCAAGCGAGGAAGCTCCCACAGATGAATAGATGTTAAATTTGTGTCAGAAGGCAATTTCTTTGTGATTCTCATTAAGGTCATGATTTGGAAACTCTGCTGAGAAATTTAAATTTTCTGATGTCTGAAAAGGAGGACATATTCAATAAAATTATCTCAGCCATAAAAGTTGTATAATGGAAAAAATGCAAGAAAATAAATTAAGGTGTTGAAAACTCATCCAGTAAAAATAATCCTGGACAGTGACTTTGAAAAGTATTCACTCTAGGCTGGTTCCCTTTAAAATGAGGACATTTAGACATCTTATCTGCATTCTGAGGACTTTCAGGGTAATCACCACTACCTACGCCCTTCCCTCAAAGCAAAAGGAACACACCTGTTTGTGTTTTACTGGTGAAACAGTTGTGCCCTATCAAGAAATAAAACTAAATTAGTACTAGAGACTCCTAGCATTCTTGTTTAAAAGTCATCGACTTCTCAGTGATTTATGAGGCTCTCCATCCCAGAAGTATTTCAGTTTACAAAGAAGACCCATGGAATATGGATATTGTTTAGCTTTGAGGAATTAGTTTCTACTGGAAAGATTTTAGGAACACGTATCAGGTCTTTTGTGAATATGTGTGGAGTTGGGGGGACAGGGAGAACTTGGGTTTCATTGCCTTCCTCAGTCTCACCTACTTTATGCTAGGCAGTTTGATACATTATATCACACTGAATTGTACTACCTTATGAAAAGGATGTTTGTTTCACAGATCAACAAATGAAACCTCAGGTAAGTCAGATGTCTAAGTTCACCTGCAGGAGAGGGGCAAAGCTAAGATGTGCTTCCAACATGAGGTTCTCTCTGTGATCCATGAAGGCTGATGGTCAAATAGAACAAAAGCCAAAGAACGCTGTTTAGGAAGGAGCAAGATTGGCTCCCCATATATATGGTGGGAGGCTCCTTAACTTAGGATCCTTTAAGCTCTTGGAAAATTGTTCTCCTCACCCCTAGCTTATGTCTCTATGAATCTTCCCCCTGGAGGACAGACATACTCTTTCCACTCACCTGCTACTTTCCCTACTATCCATTCTCAGAGTCATTTGCTCACTCCCTATTTTCTCCCTTGACTCCAGCCCCAGTTTCACCATTGGTTGGGAAAGCTAGGCCCCGCCTTTGAGTAGGTTGGGACTATATAAGGCCTACCCCTGAGAGAAAAGTCGTGGCAGGGCAGCGCGTCTCAAGTAGGGCTCTTAGAGGGTATAGTTCCTGAGTTAGGGGTGGCCTTGAGCAGTAGCCCATGCTACCCTTTGCAGGTACTTTTTGCCATTTTCAATGCCCTTATGACAGCCCTGGGGGTCAGTGCCAGCATTTGTATTGTCAGTTCAGACGCCAAGAAACGCAGTGGGAAATGAGGGAGGCAGATGGTTGCAGCTGCTTGGAGGTCCTTCAGGTGTGGAGGAGCTATGGGGGCCATGTTGAATCCACCGGTGAGATAGGGCTTGTGGAAAGAATGTCAGGTGGGCTTGAGGGGTGGGAAAAGCCATTCCCACCGCTTTTCTCTACCCACCCTTGAGAATTTCCTCAATAAGAAATAGATGTAAGTCACATTTTATTCACCCAACTTATCTCCAGGACTAACAAGTATTATACAGTTAATCAGTATCGCTTTACTATGGTTTAAATGGCCAAAAGAGATGTTAACCATATTTTTAAAAACTGGTTTCTCATCCTCAGTTGGCATAGCTTGTGGAGACCATTGCAGATACCATTGTAAAGTGCAGTCAAGTTATAGTGGGCGATATCCTTACTAGTATCCACCTTTTCACCTCTTGCATGGTCTAGAGGTAAGGAGAGGTGCATACAGCCCAGGCTGGTGTGTGTGTCTCTGTGTTCCGGGCATGGGTGCTTCTCTTTGTCCCCTGCTGACCATACCTACATTTCCTCAGCAGGTTCTCTGGATCTCTGTTTTCCCTGAAAGGAAATTAAAAAATTGCTTTCTAATTTCTTTGTCTCCCAGGCATTGTCTCCCCTCTTCTCCTTTCTCTGATGCCCATAATCTGCCTGTTCCCCAGCCCTCAAAGAGGCACTTTCATCTCTTTTCCTACCTTTCTACTTAAGGGACATTCCTACAGAGTGGCTGTTAAAAGAGAAAAACTCTTTAGGAAGAACCAACTGTCCCAGAGTCCCCAAGAGTAAAATCTCCCCAGCATCACACCCAGGACCAGAAGCCTTAAGTGCCAAACTTTATTCCCTCTTTCTTTATCCCTCCCGTGAAAAGTATGTTCTGAGATATGCAGAATAGTAATGGTGTTAGGGGATCTTAAGTGGGAGCATTTTTCTCGGGCCTTCTGGGTGGTCCCATAATTCCTGAAACCTGGGCGTGGAGGGGCAGTAATGTTTGGGAAGATGGACTGGGATGGTTGTCTTAAGAGCCCCTCTTTCCTGGGTCCTGACGACGGAGCATGTGGGTTGCAGTAACTGAGAGCCCGGCACACAAGCCCCCTTCTACGTGGGTGTCCCTGCCCACATCGTCACGTGGTCGGGGAGGAGGGGCGAGCAATGCTCGCTGGGCTGCGGTCTCCTTGCTACGGACCAGGAGGCGTCAGCTTCCATAGCGCGGGATCCTAGGAGGGCATGCACAGGTTTGCTGGCTGTAAGATGAATGTGCGTGGACTTGTGTCACCCATCCCCATCGTGGAATTATTATAAGGGGTTTTCTATGCTCTGGTGAAAGGAGGTGGGGTGGGACCCTGGTTGCAGCAAGAAGTATTTCCAGTCAAAAGGAGATTTTCTCAGTCACCCGTAGCCTGACCGACGGTTCTTAAGTGTGCCTTCAAACTTCAAAATTAACCCTCCAAATAGAATTTCCGGTGGGGAAAAAAGTTTGCTTTGGTTTTTGTTTAAACTTGTGAGATGGAGAGAAAATATCAATAGTTTTGTGTTTTTTTCCCCCCAATAGTGCCTCCAAACCACTACTTAAACAGCCCTTCCTCAATCAAGCAACCAAATGAAACCCAGCTGATGCCAAAATGCAGTTCTGGCTAGTTATCCACAGTTTATACCTCTGTCCATATTTATTCAAAGAGAAATTAGATCCAGGTGTTTATGTTTGGATTCTAGGATAATTCTCATTCTTGGGCTTGCTCTTTGCCTTCTGCTTCCTCCACCCAAATGTTATTTGCCTTTGTAACCCATTCTTGTACATTTCAGCAGTGTTAATTTCTTAATAGAAGAGGAAAGGCTATCAGACCAGGAGAGAGCTCATTGTGTAGAGAAGCACCATGTGTGTTACCAATATGTGTGGATTATCTAATATAAATTCAAAGGTAAAAAGTTTTGGACCACATCTATCAGAAATCTCTTGTTTGAGAGAAGAGAGAAGTGTGTAAATTATCCCACAAATGATGTAGGAAAATGTATCTCAAAGAGGGAGAAGAAACTTACAATATCCTTAGTTAAAAGTGAGAAAGGAGCTGCCAGGTGTTGGGAACAGCTTTTACTGTGAGCCTTATCTCTTGTTACTCTCCTGGTTTTTCCTCAGGAGTGTGAATCTGGCTGCTCTGGAGTTTTGTTTTATTGATTGATTCTTTTTTTTCCCAAAGATTTTTTATGTTGGTGGCAGGGTGGGAGGGGGTTGTTTTATGTTTGAGGCAATTAGTAGAATACCAGGGACCTTAATGAAAATTTTGAAGCCCACTGAATTAAGGGCTTCAAATAACTAGTGCTTTAAATAACTTTCTTATAACAGATGTATTGGTATATGAAACTATGTACCATTCAGTATAAGTGGCATTCAGCTATTTGAACTGATTCCAAATTGTCATTGGTTGGTAAATAATAAGCTCAATATGCTTAAGCTCATGTCCAAACTATATCACATTTTACAGAATTGAACAATTTTGTATAAACCTGGCCTGCCCCACTAATGTGGAACACTTCAGTAATAAGGCATGATTGTACTTTAATCAGTCATGGAGATGAGATCAACATTCGAAAGACTTAAACAGAGCTAGTCCTTGACTTCTCATTCTGCTTCTAAGACCTGATCAGTTAGTAAATGGCTGGGTTTGGAGGAGCTAATGTCCTTTGGATCATAAATTCCTTGTCCAGGATATTCTGGAGTGTGCATTTCATCTGAAGTGATTTTTAAAGATAAAACAAAACTCCTCTTGCATTGACAAAACTAGGCACAACTATGGAAGAACTGGAAAGGCTCAACAAAGAAATTGAATCCGTCAAGACTGAGGTTGAAGAAAAGCAGAAGAGTCTCTCCCAGTTTGCCTCAACACGTGAAGAACTATCGCGAAGTCACATCACCTCCTTGGGTGATACAAATTTGAGGCAAGATTTTCTTGAAAATCGACTGCTTCCAAAGGAAGAGTGGCATGAGCCATCAAAGAATGAAGAAAGTCAACCCAGAAAGTATGTACTGGACCACAAATGTCCAGCAACTGATCTTGAATATGATCCCTTGCTGAATTATTCTGCGGAGCTGCTTGGGACATCGAAAGCAACACAGGCTGAGACTGATAAACAGCGTGTCTGCCACTTGAAAAACTCTGTGGGTGAGGATTGCCACAAGTCTCAGGAGAGCCAAAGGCCTCATGTTTCACCAATAAGAATTACAATAAATCTTCAAGAATCTGATGAAGATGACCTTGTAATAGATATACCTCCAATCATGCCTACTTTTAAGAAACCTAAACCATTGAGAGGCTTGAAATATCAGAATATGGGCAAAAGGGTACCTATAATGTACCCAGAGGAGAGTAATCTTCAAATTACTGGCACAGAAGAGAAAAAAATAGATAAAATCCAACTAACCACACAGGTAGATGATGACGGTTACAAATCAGAACGACCAGAATCGCTCATGCATAGCTCCCTAGGTATTAAAAATAATGTAAACTTGAATCGTGCTAAAAACCACTACTCTAAGATAGGAAGCTGTGGTGGTGAGGAAAACTACACCTGTATAACAGAAGAACACATACCTCGTGCACCTCCCAGTGACAAAGAAATACAGAACAAAATTCATAATGAAAGGTATCCACATCACAAAAAATACATAAAAACAATTGATGATCCTCAAAATGAAGAAACCGAAGGTGGTTATTCAAGCCAGCCCCAGGTCTCTTCCTCAGGTGAGCGTGCAGAAGGCCAAGTGTTGGGAAGAAAAGACAATAGTCAGGACTTCACTACTTGTGAAAAGCTCACGTTAGTCAAATTTGACTTTGATAAGGAACCTACTGAGGTGAAGACTCCGTCTCATTCTGATGACACTATGAAGGAATGCCTTCGCATTTTCACAGAGTTCACAGAAAGTGAAGCTTGTAAGGGAGAGACTACTACACAGGTCAGTTTTTTCTTTTAAATCCTTTTCCTAAATTTAAAGGCATTTCCCTTAAGTACATACTCTATTCTGCACTCTGTGGAAATAGAAATTATATAAC